GATATTCCTGAGGGACGCCTCGGGAACGTACCTGCGATTTCCTTCCTTTCTGAATGGCATGAGGCTAAGCCAAGAACCTCACTCGGCAGACCACTACGACCGTCGTCATTGTGTCGCTTCGTCGTCGACTTGAGACTTGGGCCTCCGTTCCTCTTGAAGACCCCCAGGCTCCGATGGTCCTTACTGGTACCCTTAGGAATTGGAACCCTAGGCCGGCGTGTGGCACCGCTATCAAGTCAGTACGCATATCCATAAGTGTGTGCGTGCGTGTGTGTGTGTGTGTAAATATACTGTATTGTATCTAATATCTATTTATCTCTATATATTTTTTATATAGTTAATTGCACCCCGCAAAAGGCCAATCACATTGCGTGACACAAATGACAGGTAGATCAATGCCAAGTTGCATAATGGCCGATGGATGCGAACGTCTTGGAGCGGATGCGCACAGCACGCCCTTACGTCGTTGAAGTCTCGAAAATGGATGTGCATGAAATGAATCTAGCAGTAAACATGTTCTGCTATAACCATTTAACCAATGTGATAATATAATGGTCATTGACACTTCAGCATGGGATTTCTTTGCACACGGTAACCCTGTGATGACTTTCTCGACCATTTCAACGACACTTTCATTGCGGTAGCATTTGCTGGGTGAAGGTGCTCTGGGGCGGCGCATGTGATATGACATCAAGATGTCATATGTATCGCATAGGCGGCTACTTGTTTGCGAGGTTGATGCAGAAATCGTCAATGGTGTTCGCTTCAAAATTTCAACAGCCTCATATAAGTCTTGGCGAACACTCCACCGAAAACATATACAGTACATATGTATGTCATCAAGGCTGGGTCACTCCGTGAGTCCTGCGTGCCTGTGGCGCAGGAATCTGCACAGAGGTAGAGGAGTACTGTCTCATAGTGACCTCGCCAAAACTGACAGAGTCTCTTTCAACAGGTCTAGAATCTAGAAACAGCATATTTGCAGTAAAAGGCAACCTTCCTTGCTGCCTTGAGCACACAACCCCTCAGAGAAAAGTTTTACCAATGGCATCCAATCCAATGGTGCTAGCGTTGTTCAATCAACTGGCTAACTTGGTCCGGCTGGTGGCTGGCAGCAGCTTAGGCAACGGCATACTGTGATGGCTGTGAGTATGGTGAGCTCTGAGGGTGAGGAGGGTAATGATGCAACGAATGCGCCTGTCGGCAGGTTGAATTCACCAGTTGGTCGAGCTCAGGAACGTCGTCCCACTGTTCAAACTACATATGCAGATTGAGATGAGAGTAGTGCCTGCTCGACATTAGATAAGAATAAGCATCCAGCCCCAAAGATAGATTCGGATGATTCTGCTGATGGCTTTATGGGAGGTATAACTTGACCGAGCTCAATCGTTTGAATCCAAGGCTTTTTTGTTGGTTCTTCGTGCCAAAAACGGGTCCAAATTCCGAACTCAACTGCTGCGGAACAAAACCGAACAAAAAGTCTCCGTCCGACCCCCGGCCGGCGATGTCAGTTGCTCGCGGCTTGGGCGTGCACTTAGACCTCAAAAGCTAAACCATGGGCATTTGCCAAGGGTTCGGTGTTATTTGGTGAAGTGTTTATAATATAGTTCCTCCAGTGGAAGTGGAAAGCTAGCTCTTCGCAGAGGAAATAAATGTCCAGGAGACCATGTTTCATGTCCATGATTGTTTCAGAGCGCCTGGGCTTGTGTGCAAAAATGCTGACCAACTGGACCACAGGGCAAAAAAGAAAACTCCGGCCGCAGGGCGAACAAACATGAGACAACACAAGTGCATCATAAGCGAGAAGGGAGTAAAGAATGGAAGATAATGGAAGAGTTCTGCTCATATGATGCGCTTGGGTTGTCCCTTAGGGTGAAAAAGCACAACAACCAGTAGAGCAGAAAAACAAACAACAAGAGTGGGAAAAGAATAGAAAGCCACAAAAGCAAGAAATAAGCAACACAAACTCAAGGCTTGAAAAGCAACTAATAAAGAGCAACGGCAAAACAATACGCCACAAGAGGACAAGAAGCAGAAGGCAACAAAAAGCAGGAGAAAAGCCAGGGAGTGTAAATCAACCGCAAAAGAAGCAGGAAAGGCAAGAAAAACAAGAGAAATCACAGGGAAGCAATGAAAAGCACATGAAAAGCACGGAAAAACAAGAAAAGCACAAAAAGCAGGAAAAGCCAGAAAGCAGGAGCAACCACAGAGAAGCAATGAAATGCAAAACAAGCACAAAAGAGAAAATATGAAACAATCATAGAGAAGCAATGAAAACCAGAAAAGCAACAAGAAGCAGATCCAACAAAAATGTCCATAGACGCAACACAAAAAAATCGCCAACAAACATGGCCCTCCTTTGCAAAGGCTTCCGTGCACGGTGATTAGGGTAAGAAAAAAGGATTAGGCAATAATGGTTAGGCCTCAGTGTAAATCCGCAATGACGTCATGTTAATGAAACTAACGTGGGGTGACTCCATCTGGACGACTAATGACTAATAGGATCTCATAGGTATATATGTGACAGCCACTGTGACAGCCAGCAGTTCTTTTGTGAGAGGAGTGCTTTCGCTTGCTGACAACTTGGACCAGCTTGCCTTTGGCGCTGCATTATCATTAGCATAGAAACTGCCAACACTGGCCGGGGCATATGCTTCCACCATTTTACAAGTGAAATTCTGCGCTTAGGATGGCCATGGTCCTAGTCTACAATAACTTTATTGGTGGTCTGTCACCTGGCTTCAACTTTAGTTGCTGTGACAAGGCTGTCCATTGGGCCGTTGAGCTGCCAACAGCGATCTGAAGTGTGCCTTGGCAAGCAATGTCTCTAAAGCGCAAATCTACGATGTGCTCATGAAGCCTTATGAGTGCCGCTGATGTCGGTTGTTCACGAAATGTGCGCGAATGCCACTCCTTCCCCAAAGCCTACAAATCCATACCAAATGAGTGACGTGACATGGGATAGGTGTTTTCCATGTTCTCGGTGCAACCCAACGTGATTTGCCTCCGGACGTTAAAGGGAAGCTTGGAAGTGATTCCGCACTTTCCGACTTGTGATGACTGACTTGCACCTTCTCTGTCGGTCCACGCACCCTTTTTCGCCGAAAGGTAAGGCAAATCTATCCTCACTGCGCTTCTCAGGCCAGCTTCAGCCTCAAACGCAGGCCAAGAGCTTGAAAGTAAACAAACAATGCAAACAATCAACCACCAGGTGATGAGGGCACTTGCTGCCACTAGACTTGCTGTGGCCCCAATTTACACTGGGTGCAGGAAAGCTGCATTGCCAGCACGTCCGGGTGTCCAAACATCAAACTCCTGTGACAATCTTGAAAAACTCAGGCAAAATGGAGTTTGAATAAATCAACCAGCTGCTGCAGCGAGGGGGTTCCAGGGATGACATTTATCTCAGATTCTTGGATCATGTGGGCCACACATGGCCACACACACTATGGCCACACGTATCTTTACACAAAACCATGTTGCATCATGTGATGTGATGATGTAAAACCCATCCCTTGGCCGGCTAGGCCGCCAGCTGCGTCGGAGCCTCTGTGTGCTGCAAGTAGAAGGCCAAACGATCAGACGAATCCCACCGCAATTTCTGCCAAAGAGTGTACACCCGTGGAGTGCAAGCCACGTCCTGCCCAAAATCGACAAGGCATCGAACCATCCTAACCAACCAAAGTGAAACTGCGCACTGGAAGAATAGAAAAGACATGGAATCGTCCTCTATCAGCACGTATCCTCCGCCACCTGAAGGAACGAGTGGAGTTTTATGGTTGAAGTGTGAGGCAGCATGCAACAACGCGCACTGGGGGTCAATATTGGTCAGTTTGGAAAAATACAATTATGATCAATTATGGCTACTGCGAACGGATGGAAAGGTGTGCCCTGGCCCCGTTCTAGCTCTTAGGTCAACATGAAGCTCGCGCGCTAAAGCTCCTTTTTACCTGGTTGGGCACTTGAGCCAAAAGTATATGGCATGTACCTGTATAGCGACTATACTGGGACCCCATCCCTATTGACACCCCCCACATCCGTGCTTCGACGGGGAAGGGAGATGAGTGGATGTAAAAACCGGAGAACGAATCACGTTCTCAAAAGTGTATTGGAGGTCAACCAGTATGTCCTATTGAATTGAATTAGCAAAAGATCTTGCAATCGCTTGAAAGTTGGATCAAACAGGCAATGGAGCTACAAGCGGAAAACGTGCACCTACCTATGGTATCATGCGATTACCAACGGTGTGAGACACAATCCTATCTCACTCCCATGACGCCAAAACGGTCATCATGAATTACCCGCGATCCCTCAGTACTTGAAGTACCGGAAGTAGCATGTCGGTATGACCCCAATGCTCAACCATTCGTGAGTTGTCGCATGTAGTCAGCGCCGACAAAGCCAATGTAGTCCTTGATGAGCTCAACGTTCCTTGGGTTTCCCGCTCGGATCTGCTCCTCGAAGGACTTCAATTTCCTTTCTTGGATATCGGATACCTCTATGCCATAGTATCGGCATGCAACGAGGATCTCCTTCGTGACATTCTTCCTCTCCGATTTGATGGCGGGACTAATGTCGATGAATTTGTATGGAGCGGCACTTTCGTCATCTGGTTTCTGGTAGTAACTATATCGGCTCGCTCCGAAGGTCTTCTTGATCATACGTCTGATGAAATTTGAGATGAATGCCAATTTCTCGATGATCTCATCCTGGGTCTCAGACTTTCGAGCCTTTGGATCACTCACGCTACGCTGAGTGCTGCCGACCTCTTTGAGGTACTTGTGGCTAAGCCCGCAGCGGATTGCAGTGATCATCATCGGATGAACAACATTGGCGTGGAATTCATAGATCTGCCACGCTTCTGTTGCAAACCCGTCGTCGGTCCATCTGCTCATGCCTACGACCTCGTCTCTCTTGAGACGTCTTGGAAACCCAGTATCCGGATCTTTCGGTACTATTGGCCATCTATTGTGCGGAGTGTCATGCCGCTGTCCATCGTCGAACATTCGCAGTACATCTTCACGATTCTCAAAGCAGTTGATGTCGAACGTTGCGTTGGCCAAGCTCTTGATCAACTTCATCAACCTCAAATCAAATTGCTGCGCGACGGCAAAGTTGTGGTCGATGGGGATCGCAGCTTCTTGCGGCAATTCGTCAATCGCAAAGGGGGAAGGCCTCGGAAGTTCATTCCCGTATCCATCTTGAGGGACCTCCCGATACTCGGGTTCGCCTTCAGCTTCGTCCGGTCGTTCCTTCAAAATGATAAGAACTTCCTCCTCTTCCTCTCCTTCGGATTCCCCGATCTCAATGACCTCTTCGGCTGTCTTGCGTGCGTTCTTGATGACTTCATCGATGTTTGCACCTGCAGCAGAAGTTGTTTCACCGGAAGAACTGGCTGGGACATCTTTCGGAGGTGATCGTTGATTGCGGTCCCTTGTCTCCTTGGGTACCACATGTGTGAGCTTCCCATTCGCGATCAGAACCGCTACGCAGTGCGGACATATCGTCAATCGCACATCGACTTCGCCGAGACAGTTAGGACACGGCCTTGAATCGTAGTCTTTCATCGCTCGGCGATACACGATCTCCTCGAAGAGTTCCTGCCACTCGGTGTTATCATACTCTGGGTAAACACCACTCTCCTCGATCATACCCAACAGCTTTGAGATTTTGGCGTCGTCCTCGGAGTAGGTATCGTCCAGAACCTCAACCGCTAAGCTCTCAAGCTTTTGAAAGCGTGGAATCATGATCGGGTTTCCGTATTTGGACTCTAGAACAAGGTAGCTTCCAGGGTCGGGTTCCCCATTGAGTAACCGGATCCATTCGATCTTCTCAGGCTGTCCGGGTTCCGCATTGTCGCATTGCAACCATGCCCCTTTAACCTCATCGAAGGGAACGACGTTCTCAACCAATAGAGAGCCAGTCGCTGAGATGAGAAGTCCGTACTCCTGCAGCTTCCACACCGGAATGTAGAGAACCACTGGGCGATCACTCAATGCGACCTTACGACCCAGCCAAGGTTTACCCTTGTAGCCCTGCTCCCAGGCCCATGGCGGAAAACATGTGAAGTGGATAGAATCCCTTCCCGATGAACCGAGACCTCCCGGCACTAGCCCTCGTCGCATGATTGAAGTCAGCGCTCCGAGATTGGTAGCGTGAAATGCAGTCACCATAGATAGGGCCATGTCGTTGGTCATTCTCGACCCAATGTGGTCGATGTCAATGGTAACGTCATAACCTCCGCCGTCCGTTGAGTGTGCCGAGGTGGCTCTTACAGCCACGGGAAAGCACCATCCATCGCTATGGTGGAGTCTTCCTTTAGAGATTCCCATGTCCTTGAGTTCGTTAATCCATCCCTTCTCCATCGGGTCATCAGGCTCATTGAGTTCATCAGGGTGAACACGGACCGCTAACATTTGGAATCTGACCCTCTTGGTTATGCGGAAACACTCATAGTTTTGGTCGAAGTACTTCTCCAGACGCGCCTTCTTGGTCACGATGTCTATGTTGCCGTAGTGATAACCGTCTTCCCAAACTGCATTATCACCTAACAGGTCTTCCCATGACACCCATGCACCTTCATCGCATTTGATTGGCGCGAGTCTTCCTCCTGTCCTGAACTGGCGTCCAATTCGATGTCTCAACTTCGCTCCCAATCGACGACTCAGGGCCTGGCTCGTTTGGCTGTATTCAGGTACTCGACAGTCTGGAGTCGGATACTTGTGGTTGCCGTAGTCGGAGTTCTTTGCAGCGAAAGTGACTCCGTTGATCGGTACTAGTTCAACTTTCCCGACCATCGTCATGGGGTCGATCAGCTTGTATCCCTTCTCCCTCCGTGTTGGAAGGGGATAGAAGTGATGACATGCCTTTGGTGTGAGGGAACTGGAGTGCACAAATGCCTTCTCGACAAATTCGTACACCACTTTCATATCCTTAGGGCCTGCTTCCACAAGCTTCCGCCCATTGTAGGAATGTGGTCCTCCTTCGACTCCATCAGCACTTTCGATCAAGGTGAATCCGTCATGGTCGAACATTGTCACGACTCTTGCTTTTAACATTTCTTTGCGCTTGAACTCGCTGTCGACCTTTCTTTCTGGAGTGGGCGATGCTCTCTGCTTCTTCTTCTTAGGCTCCTCGGTTGGATGTCCAGATGGTACATCGTCGGGTGCGACCTCTCCCTTCACTCTCTTCTTCCAATCACTCAACACCGAGGTGACTGAAGGTGAAGATGAAAGGTTCTTCTCGCAATTGAGAGTTGTGTGTCCCGACTCCATGCAGTGGATGCAGAATTCTGCCTGCCCGATCTTCCTCTCAAATTCGTCGATGGCTTGCAGTATTGATGTCTTCGGGTCGGACATGTCAACATCTTGCTCCTCCTTCTCCTGTCCACATTCAGTCTCCATATCGACACCTTCGGCCTCGGGCTGGTCAGTGGCTTCTGTTCCCTGTTCTGGTTCTTTCCCAATTTCGAAGAAGTGGTCGATGTCGAATTCAGGAGGCGGCATAGTCCTCATGCGAACGAGAATCAGCGCCACGTTTGCCGCCTCATCAGAGTGCGGGTCCATGGTTCTAATCATCGATCGCTTTCGTTTCTCATACGTTGTCCTGTCGTACAGCGATGCAGTGACGCGTTTGATGGATTCCTCTAATCCCGTCCTCAAAGCTTCGATGTCACCCCATCCTCTGAACAGGTGTCTGAAGAGTTGAGCAATTTCGAACATGCCCAGCAACGCCTCCACCATGTCACCTACCCGTTCCTCTGTGGGATCATCTCCGAATATAGTGCGGAATACATCGGGTTCCAGTATGGTCTTGAGGTATTTGGTGTAGCATACGTTGCCAAGGTCATAGGATCCCTGGAAGTACTTGGCGTTGCCGATTATCTGCTTTTCCACATGGATGCTGGGTCCTCTCCTCGTTTTGAAGAAGTTCTCCGTCATTGTTGATGACAACCTGATCCCCCCCGAAGAACGAAATCTCCTTCTGGAAACCTGGATTCTCATTGAAGATGATCATCGCCTCGTGTAAAAACTTCATCAAGTCATCGTGCGGGTTCATCTCTGAGATTACGATGGTGGGAGAAGATACCGTTTGCCCCATGCCGAAGTTGTGAAGCAATCGAGCACATGCATGGAATCGCTTCTGGACGTAGTCTTCTGCGGACATCCCACGGCATCTGTTTGCTGCTCCGTTGATGCATTCCGCATAGCAATCGTCTTTCAAATCGGAGTCTATGGGATGGCAGACCAGACAGTAATCGCAGCAAATTTCCTCACCCTCCTTAAAGTCATCAATGACGTACCACCTTTGAGTCCTTGAGTATATTGGTTCTGGCTGAAGGACTCCCCAGTACTCATCCATCCATGGCATCTTGTTCTCTCTCCTTACCTTCTCCCTCTTCCTCCTCTCAGACTCATTCTCGCCTGAAGGCTCCGCAGTGGACTGATAAGCATGGCTTCCTCTCACGGAATCTCCGAACAAGTACTGATACAACCTCTCTTTGTCCTGCAACACGTGTTCCAAGTTGGGATCATGGAGGCTATTCGCTTCGGTCAAGGGATCCGGTGCCATAAAGCAAGAAGCGAGCATCTTTTCTCTGAACAAGTACTTTTCCATGACAGTGTGGACCAAAGAGGTTCCAGACTTCATAGAGTAGGGGTGACCGCTCCCGGCGACCGAAATGGCTCGCCAGAATCTGTCCGACGTTGTGGACATCATGCCATTCAGCGACAGCTCGTCCTTGATCATGTTGG